AACCAGTGCAAAGCAGCCAGGGTGGGGGAGATATGCTGGTGTTTTCTCACCCCACTAAGGAGCCTGGCTGCTGCATTCTGGACCATCTGAAGTTTCCGCGTCAGCCTCAAAGGCAGCCCCACGTAGAGTGCATTACAATGGTCTAATCTCGAGATTACGAGCGCATGGACTAGAGTAGTGAGGGCCCCCCGATCAAGATATGGTCGCAGCTGGGCAATCCGCCATAGATGAAAATAGGCAGAGCGGACCACGGACGCCACCTGGGTTTCCATGGTAAGCGCCGGGTCCAGATGTATTCCCAAGCTGCGGACCTCACTCTTTGCGGCAAGGGTCGTCCCCCCAAAGGAGAGGGAGTCACCTATGCCGCTGACGGAAGGGCCGCCCACCCTCAAGACCTCCGTCTTGTCCGGGTTCAGCCTCAATCCATTTGACTGCATCCATTCCAGTTGCATGCACTTCCCCTTCTGTCTTCCTTCTCTCAGTCACACGAGTAGGATGTAAGTCAGGCTGAGAGTCTGTGGCTAACCCAGTGAATTTCATGGCCAAGCGGGGTTTGGACACAGCTTTCCTGGTCATAGTTTAACTCTTTGGCTACTGCACTGCACTGGCTCTTTACAGTGTCTCGTGTACTTTCTACCAAATTGCACTCTGCAAGCAGTTTTTGATCCATTAAAATGTATTAGCTCATCTTAAACATTTAATAGCCATGAGATGCACACCTTCAGGGTTTCTTTAGTTTGCAGAACAGATTTCAGGTACACAGGTTTCATCGTCTTAGGAATGCAAAAGACCCAGACATTGTTGTTATTATACATAATCACAACCCAGTTATTGTGCCTTTTTTCCCTGCCTTTCATGCAAGCAGTTCGCAGTGACATACATAGTTCTCATCTCTTCCCCTAACCCGCCCCCACACTCCATTTGGGTTTAGGTTTGGATGAGAAACAGCAGTGAGTACCAAAGTCGCAGTATGAACATCTCAGCTAGGATGGCCAGCTACAGACAAATAAAGACATTTTCCACCTTGCAGGGTCTTGTGAAAGAAAGAATTTCAGCAGGCTAAGTTTCAGTTTCAAGCAAGCTGCAGCTGCTGAAAATCCATCTTCTGCAAATGATTACATGTGCAGGAGTCAGGTTCTCTTTTGTGTATGGCCCTCCTGTTCACATGTCTTGGAATTGTATAATCAGACTGTACTTAGAAATCAGAGCTGGACTGGAGCATCAGTGGCCCTTCGGGAGTTGGTGTACACATTCTATCATAGCTGGTCTTCAGCCAGTCCTGGCTGGATCTGAAATGAGATGTGAGTACAGAAATACCTGGAGGCCACAGATACCTCAGCTCTGCTGCAGAGTATGGTTTCCACCAGATCAAGGGATTAATGGTCCCTGAGACTCAGCTACTGCAATATTCAATAGATGGCATAAAAATGATACTAATCTTGGAGACTGAGCAATGAAAACTCCTGTTTGCTTTTACTCTCAGCTCCCTTTATGAAATGGGTACATTCACAGCCTTTCTTGCATGTCTGTTGTAGAGGGGCTGCTGCACTTTTAATAACTGCACAGAAGTAAGCATTTCATGCAAAGGTCACTTCTTGTACAAATAAGAATGAAAATGTATTCCTTTTATCCCAGCCAAGAAGGAGCTATGGGCATTGACAGATGGCAATGGGGAATGCACTTCAGCGGTCCCCAACTGTTTTTGGTCCACGGACCAGCTCGGGAAGGCGGGGCAGCCCCTGTGCTCATGCGCATGTGCGAACAAGCATTCTCTTGCACGAGCCACACAAATGCCTATGTGAGCGCCGTGTCACCATTTGCACATGCATGTGAGTGCACATGCATGCACAAACAGTGGTGCAGCGCTTGTCTGGGTGCACGCACTCGTGGCATGCTCAAACGGTGGGCAGCGCTCACACGGGAGTGCTAGAGCATGCGCGCAGCTGCAAACAGGCTGTGCGGGGTGAGTGTGTGCAGGGGGTGGGACGGGAGGTCTGTCTTGGCAGCCCAGTCTGGCTCAGGCCACGGACTGGCACGGGCCGTGGACCGCAGGTTGGGGACATCTGCACTAGGTATTTAAAAATATCTCACTTAAACAAACCCAATGTTTTCCTCCTCTAGTGCCACTCATGCTGAGATTTGTCTCCTGCTCTGCAGATAGGAAGAAATATAGCTGATCCCTGACACTCCAGACAGAACCCTACTCCCCCTGGGATAATAATAATAAGTATGTGCTGCCAAGTCATTTCTGACTTATGGTGACCCTTTTCAGGGTTTTCTAGGTAGAGAGTATTCAGAAGTGATTTACCTTTTGTTTCTACCAATCCTTTATCTACAAAGAGAGATAATTTGCACTACAGTACCTGAGGTGAAACCTGATACCCCAGGGTGACGCTACCAATTTGGAGTCTCTGTTTTCAGTCATTACTGAAACCAGATTCTAACACTGCATGATCTGGTCAAAATAAGTTTTGGACTTTTGTGTTCCTTCCCTCATGCTCTTGTTTTTAAATTTCACATGATGATTGCACAGCTTTTTCCCCCATCCTTTTTCTTGTGCAAGGCACACTTTGCTGTTAACAACTGCTAAAAATGCAGGATCTCTGGCATTCTCTTGCATCTGGCTGACCTAGTTTGTGGAAAAAAACAAAATGAGTGGCAGGGATGCTTGATCACATAGAAGAGAGGAAGTTTATAATATAGAACTAGCTAACTAGGACAGCAGTATTTTCTAGAGACATGTGAAGCACCACTTCCTGTGGTTGTGCACAATAGAAAACATGCGCCCAGATTAACTCCTACTGTTAAAATTAGTTCATTGCCT